TCCCATTTGACCCCGCTATTCCACTGCTGGGGATCTTCCCCAAAGAATTAAAAGAATCATACCACAGTGATATATGTGCACTCATGTTCATAGCAGCACAGTTTGTAAGAGCTAAAACTTGGAAACAGCCCAAACGCCCATCAGCTGGAGACTGGATCAAGAAAATGTGGGGTTTTTTATAAAATGGAATACTACTCAGCCATCAAAAGTGAGAAATTAGAGACAGTTATTGCTAAATGGATGCACATTGAGGCAATACTCTTAAGTGAAATAAACAGGACACATACGTGTAAATACCAAATAGTTTCTCTAGTGTGAGAAACTGAAAATGTAAATAAGGACTAAAAGGTATAATACATTGTAAGACTGAGGGCCTTACCAAACGCTCCGAGGAGCTGACTGCAGCAAAGAACACCCGGGAGGGAACACACTGGACAAGTTGGAAAGTAAAACAGACCTTTATTAGTCTGGCCAGATGACACCCTCCAAGCAAACAAGCTTAGAGAGGCAACTGGCTCAGAGTCCGAGGCTCTTTTATAGGGGTTGCAAGGGGAAGTTAGCAAGCAGAGATTACAAAAGCGAGATGCTGACGGTTGGGGGATTTAGATAGCATGTTCCAGTACATTTAGATAGTAGATAGCATGTTCCAGTACATTTCCTGTTTATGGGGAGTCGGGTAATTTTAAAGAACACTGTGCATTCCGTGAACCTTTGTTTTTCTTCCCAGAAATGACATCACATGGTTTACTTAGAAGGGGAGGGGGAGTATCGAGTGAGGCAACATGGAGTAACCTTTGTTCAATCTCATACAGTCCCACAACATAATGTGAAATGGGAAGAAAAGGGACAAAGGGGAGGGGGAAGTGGGAGGGGTAGAGGAAAGGAAAGAAGGGAATGGAATTAATATGAGAAAATGAAAAAATAGAAACAAAGTCTTTGTAAATAGTGAGGGATGGAGGGGTTGAAGGGAGAGCAGGGGAAGGGGGAAAAATAAGAACCAAGAGAGTATGTAAAAGTGCAGATTTCCAATGATAAATATCATTATATTTTATACCTAAAATGTACCAATAAAAGGATATACAGTTAAAAAAAAGTTCATGAAAAGAGGAACAGTGATAACAATAAACCATAAAATACCTTTCTATGGCTATCAGAATGTCTGAAATTGAAAAGAGATGGACCACACTGACCCTGAGACTATGGAGAAACTGGAGTTATATAGTAGCTATAAGAATATCAAATGCAACACCTGTTTTTAAAATAATTTGACCATTTCTTCCAAAGTCAGACGGACTTCTAGTTCTAGCTGCGACTTGTAAAGGGCTAGTTAGTTGTCAACTCCACACAAATATAACAAAAACAATCTAAGTAAGCAAAACTCAACAACTTTTCCTGGAACCATAGATCACTGAGGTCAGAGGACAAACTGTCACCTCCAGCTTGGAGAGACAGAGGAACACAGAGTCACAGCAGAGATCAGACACTGCTGCAACAGTCCCGGTGGCCATAATTCAAAGAGCACTTGATGAAGATTCTGAAACGTTGCTGGAGCCCACTGCCCATTCTCAGAGGACTGAGGAGCTCCCTGGCCAGAGTCTTGGGGGACTCAAACAAAAGCCCGCAGGAAGCCCAGAGGATCTCATGCTAGAGAAGCAAGAAGTACTCGTTGTTTCCTGCTGGAGACAGAGGATAAAATAACCACTGTGAAGCATAACCAGAGCATAATCCAAAGCCAAAGCATGTTTCTCAGGGGAAAGGCTTTACCAGAGTTAATTTAGGGCTGTGGGGATAACAGGCATCTAACACTAAACCCTGCTATCCTTTTCATGTCACCCAAGGGAGCTCAAAAATACTTCTGAACATCTCAATCTAGGGCACTACCCATGGGTATACTGGGATTTTAGCCATGATGTTGTGGAAAGAGTTCCCTTCCCCCCACATCTTCCACTGCGTCAACAGCACTCCAGGATAAAGCACCAGAATGCAGTACAAAGGGCCACATCCCTTGGGATCTATATCAGAAAGAATCTCCAGGAAGAACCGTGAGCACCAGGATAGGTAAAAGTGACGCTATGGGATTTGAATCTTCTGGCAACTCTAGGTAGAACAAGCATGGATAAAGCATAATTCCTGCCAGATTAACATAAAAGCTCACAATAAAGGCTTGTTCACTTGTGTCTAGTACTTGAACATTTTTTTTTTGCCAAAAACTTGAAATATCTCAAATAGATGTCAGCAGGTGAAGGGATTTTAAAAGTTCTTAAAATCATGCAATGGACTGACTAATGCTCATCAGTAAAAATGGACTGAACAATGTCCATTGTTCTAAAATATATATTATACTGATTGATGGAAGGTAACTAAAATAACACATACTTGATGATGCTATTCATAGAATAGTTATAGAAAAGAAAAACAAATCTAGTGGCAAAAAGCATATCAGCACTTTTCTATGGTCAGGATGAGGAGTAGGGACAGGTGAGAAAGAAGGCTTGTGAAGAGGTACGATAAAAGTTATAGCAGTGAGGGGTACATTTCATTGCTTTAATTATGATGGTAGTGCGTACATGTATTTCCAAACTTACCCAATCACACTCTCCAATTTCGGGAAGTTTATTCTGAGTGGCAGTTGTACATCAATGAAGATTAAAAATCATTTACTTGCCTGCTAGAGAGTAACGTCTGTAAAATGAGTAATATAAAATTATTTTCAGGGCAACCCACTTTCCAGTCCCCCTCTGTCTCTCTTAGACAGAAGCTTTCTTTCTCTCAATAAATTTTTCCTACTCTTAAAACAATTATTTTCAGTATAATTTCATGTTGACAAATGCATGCAGGTTTAAAATGGCAATTTTCTGCAGGTACACTATTCTCCGTAGAGATTTTAAATTACCAAATACATCTAATAAAACAACTCTGATGCCCGTAGTGCTTTATTCTATAATTGGGAGGTCATTGGTCAAGGTAGTCAGATATACTTTTAATTTTATTCATTAATATATTTCCTTAACAAATCTTTTTGACCTGGTCTATTTGCAAAGAAAGATACATTCTGCAAAATAAAAAATGCAATAAACATCAGTTAAATTTCCTCTTTTCTCTTATATTTGCCCTAACACCAGCAAATCTTCCCAGGACAATTTTTCTTCTTGTAACCCCAGAAATTCATTCGAGTGGGAAATCTCTTTCTTCTCTATCATATCTCACCGGCCCCTACAGTTTCACTTCATTCTCACTTAGGATAGACATGTCTTTCTCAGGGGGATTCTGAATATTTCTTCAAGAAAAAAAAGCAGGTAGTTCCCACAGTTGATTGTCAAGACTATTCCATTCCCAGGTCCACAATGTGTGATCTTTGTCAGGTCCTAAACCCATCTGGCATCTGTCTTTTTATCTTCTTACTGATACTTCTGGACATTAGCCCAATCCACACTGACAGATGAACCTTTTAGTTGCTTGACATAAGGTATTCTTGAGTAACTGGAAGAATATCAATTTCCATGAAGCAAAGCTAACAGATAATCAAGATTTTTTTTTAATTTGCCAATAATAAATTAAGAATACCTGGACAAATACAGTCAAGAGAACAAGAGGTATACAAAAAAACCTTAAAGACGTCCATAGTTGAACAAACAAATATCTAGATTACTAAATTCCATTGGTACTCACCAAAGTGCTTGGGTCAAGGTGTTACTCAACTTATTAAGGTAGTTATTAAAAAAAAAAGAGGGCTTACATAAGTAAAATTGTGGTCTAAACACTAAGAAATGAAGGTGACATATAAAACAAGCAGTACCAATATTAAAATTGAGTCTTGGCAAATATCAGTAACTAGCAGAGATAATAAACTCGAGTGTGATTATGGAGAAAGCATTTAGCTTGGGCATCACTTGGTGTTTCAATCAAACCATTGGGTAAAAACAACATAGAAAGCAATATTCATTACATTTTGAAAGTTGAAAAGATTAGAAATATTCAATGTAATCATTAATAAAATGCTGGGAAGTTTTGATGATGAAAATTTAAAACTTCCAATTTCATAAATTTACTGAAAGGTGTTTTATTTATAGCTGTTACTAAAGAAATGTGCAATGCTGAAAGCCACACTTACCCTCAGGGAATACCATTGTAAAGACAGGAAGATAAAGTAAGTAAATGGCTAAAACAAAAGAGAGATAATAGGAAACCCAAAGGTAGACACTTAGAGATGAGGAAAATTACGAGATGGTAGAGGAAAAGGAGGGCATTAAAGAGATTTAAAATGATCAAGATATGTTATATGCTTGTGTCATTCCCTGAAATGAGTATCACTATTCTGTATAATCAACATGCACAAAAAAGAAATGATGATGATTTTTAAATGGGTTAATTTTTATGGAGTGTTGCTGTTTCTCAAATACTTTTTCACACAGTTCCTCCTACTTAATTCATTCTCTGACTCTTACACACACACACACACACACACAAGCAGTAACAAATTCTATGAATAAAATCATATAAATGTCTCCATTAAAACCATAAGGAAATTAACATTTCCAAAGTTAAACTGTTCATGGGTATGTTAATAGTCTGAGGAGGAGGCGGAATTTGACACCTGGCAGTTTTGATTTCATAGCCCACGTTTTTAGCTAAAGTACTATGTTATCTATTTACTTTCAAAATGACCTTCAAGACCAAATTCAATATTATGCAAAGGTCAACCAAATAGTAGCTAGGAACAGAGATTGATACCTGGCTCATCTATGGTAACTATAAGGACAAAAACTATTGTATTGCCACATACACTATACAGATGAGGACACTAGATGTAAATTTTCTTACTTCATTTCTTCATCTATCATTTGTCTCCTTCTGTTTAACAGTTTGATATTTCCACAAAGAAAAAAGATTTTCAAGGATTATATGTTAATAAAAATTGATGTGCTTGAACATCTTTTATGAAAGTATCATGATATTTTATTATTATTATAAATAAATCTTTTTAATCTTTGTAAGCTACAAAAACAATGAACAAAACTAATTTTAGGGAGAAAACAAGTGAAATAAAAATGTTACAGGTGAGGAGTGCCATATGTGAGCCTGAATTTCAGCACTGCAGGACAGTGTTTTAATTGCCTTCTTAATGTACTTGTTTCAGCCTGTGTTTCAGAAGGCATATGCTGCATTTTCCTCAGAGTTAATACTTTTCTAGGGCTTTTACCATTTTTTCCATAAAACTCAGAAGCTTGAAGTTGGCTTCCTTAATTTAATCCATTATACAATCGACAGTCAATCCTATTGTGACTTTTTAAACCACAGGAATCATCATCTCAGATGCTGGCATTCGGGGTCATCAGAGGTTAATGTCATTTTACAAAGTCACAGCACAATCATTTTGTAAGTGGCATTCTTCCAGAGATTTCTGACTAAATCTGAACATGAAAATGCCTTCTTCAGTGT